AGAGAGAGAGAGAGAGAGAGAGAGAGAGAGAGAGAGAGAGAGAGAGAGAGAGAGAGAGAGAGAGAGAGAGAGAGAGAGAGAGAGAGAGAGAGAGAGAGAGAGAGAGAGAGAGAGAGAGAGAGTGAGGAGAGAGAGAGAGAGAGAGAGAGAGAAGCGCTCCAACGTTTCAGCGCTGCCAGTCCAACAAAAGTATTATACTTGTACCCATCGTTGTAAGATGGTGTTGTGAACACGTGTTTCACCGGGTAGTTACCAACCAAAAGCTTGAAAGCAGTTTGTTCCGATTTTATTTTTTTTCTGAACGACGAGCAAGAGTGACGGTGCGTGCTTTAGGACCTCTGGCTCAACTTGGCGACGCAGGCAGTTTGCGAGGCGGGGTGGCTGATGGGTTGTCGCCTGGGAATTGCGTTGAAGACGAAGAAAAAGTTTCCGAGGCGGGGAAAGGTACATCACGCCCATCGCGCTCATCCGTTCGCCTTTGGTCGGCGCAGGTGCAAATTGTTGACCGGAAACCCTATCATCATGGTGGTGCTGCACGTCAAGCGCGGGGAAGACTCGCAATTTCTGTATCAAACGACCACGGCCATCGAGATGGACCAACTTCTGCAGGAGCTGGCACAGGTCTACAATGACCGCCTCCGCATTGATCGCCTCTGCATGGGTACGAAGCCGAATGTGACTTGCTGGTGGCGTCACACTTCCTGACCAACTCGCTCGCCTCGTGCTTTTTGTGTGAAACTCATCGTGTCCCTCGGGCTTGTAGCTATGGATCAACTGGCAACCCACGGCATTGCCAAGACCCCTCAGATGGTTGGCCTGACGGACGAGCAGATTGCCGAGCTGGGCCACAAGGATGAGTCGGACAAGTACTACCCCTCTGGGGGCTCACAGTTTGTCAAGGATGACATTGGCTACCGCACGGGGCATGCTCCACAACCGCCCATGCAAGAGGTGCTCCGCAAGACCATTGCCGAAGCCAAAGCCGCCATTCACAAGGTGCGGCTGCGGTCAACTTTTGGCCTCCGCCCATATGTTGCCGGTACACCCCTTTCAATTCACCTTCTTTCCCTCTCGTCCAGGACCTGACGAAGCAAAACAAAGCTTTGAGTCAAGAGACCATTCAGGACGTGTTTGATAAGCTTCGCGGCGCAACCATGATTGTATATCCCATGGGTCTTCCGGCCTATGATGATGTTCAAATCATCCTTGATGATGCTGAGGATTTGGGTGGCAAGCAAGCTGCCAAACAGGTACCGTCGGCCTGTTGCAGCAGTCATCTTGAGGCCCAGAGCATGTGCTGCTCTTTCGTAAGATGGGTCGCCGTGGCTCATGTCAGGGTCAATTGGCCTAGGTCATTCCACCGGCCGAGTTTCAGCTGTGGTGGGCCGGCAAGGAATTGCAGCGAGGCAAGAAACTCAGCGATTTTATTGGCCGCAACGAAAAGACCAAGATCATCTGCAAAGCTCAAAAAGTACGTGGCCGCTTGCGTGTTACTTGCCTCTTCTTCATGTTCGAGCCCGGTAATCAAGAGCTCAACATGCTCCCACTCACTCCCACTCACGCACTCACTCACTCACTCACACTCTTGTTATTTCTACCATCGTGGTGCGGTGATTTATAGAAGGGGGCGGGGCAGCCGACACGCGAGCCCGTGTACGACGAGGAGACGCAAAAGAAGATGATGGCCTACGCTTATAAAAAGCAAGAGGAGTGGAAGCAGCTGGAGAAGGCAGATGAAGATGCCTATCTCAACGCCGAATGGGCTTCGTCCAACCAGCTCAAGTCTCAGCTTCACGGCACATCTGGCATTCGCTGGAAGTAGTCGGCTTCTGTGCCCTTTTCCTTCTTCTGGACCGCGCATGGGACACCTACGGCGCCGCGCGCCGTGCCTCCAAGAACTTTCTTCACGCTGGTTCAGTTGGGCCTCTGGTGGTTCACTCCGAACACTGTACATTGTCTCTCTTCTCTTCTTTCTATGTTCTACGTCCATTTCCTCGTGGATATGTCTTTGCCGCGAGCAGGGCGAGTGGGCAGGCCATTTGAAGTGTCTTTGAGAACGAAAAGGGAAGAAGACAGAATTTACAATCAAAACTCGAATCAGGACACAGATGGTTGTGGATGCTCGACTCGTCATGCTCGAGTCGACACGAAATACACGCACATAACACTCGCAGTCAGAGCAGTGAAGCGCACTCCTCCAAAGCGCCTCAGACCTTGCTCGCGGGTGAAAGCGGTACGTGGACGCTAATGGGCAATCTGTCGTGAAAGCGGAGCACAGAAGAAGTGAGATCATTCACCGGCTGCAGTTATATTTTCGAAAAGTGTGGTGATGCACGTACTCAAAAGGCTGCTGCTGAAAGTCTGGGACGCTGCGGCCAAAGGCTGTTAAAGGCACACGGTCAGCCAGCAACAGCTTGGCGTCGGGTCGATGAATCTCTAACAGTAATCAGATTCGCGCACAATCATGGCGGCAAGTTGCAAACATAAAAGCGGGCCAACAAAAGCAGCCGGGCTAGTGAGCTGTCAAAACGCGAGCCGAGGCAAATCAGCTGCAAGCATCCACTTTGACATGGCCACGCACGGCTTACCGTCCTCTGGCACATGAAGCAACGCTCCGTAACGGGCATCCCAGCCGGCCGCTGTGGGTAACTCTGGCTCTGACTCATGTTCTGAATGATGGTCGAGGTCAAGCCCTGCCTGGTGATCATCGTCCATGGGATCGGCCTCGCTAAACTGGTCCTCAGTCTCGGCCGCGTTGCTTGCGAGCTCGTGCCCATCGCTATCATCGTTGTTCTCGTCCAGCTCGACGTCACTCGTATCGTGAAGGGACGTGGAGGTGACCGAAGCTCGTGAAGTTGATCGTTGGACGCCTTCAGAACAGCGCTTGGCCCGTTTACACTCGCTCTGCGCACGGCGCTGTGCCATGACCCGTTCGATGGCCTCCAGTTCATGAGCTCGAGCCTTGCGCTCCTTGACCTCGAAACTCTGGTGTCGTCGTTCATAGCGCTCGTCACGCCAATCCTGCAGACAAGATAAATGTGCGAGAGCATGGCTGTCAGCTGCAGAAGCCCAATTCACCGGAATGGCACCAAGGGTTAGGTTCAAGTACACGCACGTCTTGGCGGCGCCTGGAATTGAAATCTGAAACATTGGGCTGCTGTTGATCGTCGAGCGTGGTATATACGCCCCAATTGGGGGTTGGCAATCCGGTACGTGTCGTGTCTAATATTTGGTGACAAAAGCCAACAATGCAACAGCATGAAAAGCAGGTGGGCTGAACACTTCTTCGTTTCCCGAACACAGCCCCCCCGCTTCTTTTTCTCACTGGCCATCAAGCTCTCCAAGAAGAGCAACAAAAAAACGTGGGCAAAAAGGCGTTCCCCTTCCCGACATGAAGCGGTAAGAACTGGTTTGGTGTTTTTTCTTTGGCCAAAGCAAGAGCCAGCCCTCCCCTTGCTTTTCAGGTCCCTATGCATGTAATCGTGCGAGTTTATACCGGGGCTGGTCAACCAAGCTGGGGGTTTCCAGTCGAGTGGAGGGTGTAGGACATAGGCATGCTGGCAGATAACGCCGTCAACGGGGAGTCCGTCCAAGTCGTCGTTCGCCATTGCCGCAGCGGGTGTAGATGTGCGTGTCGGCAAAGTCTCCGTGCCAAGGGTAGAGCTCAAGCCTGAACCACGCCGTTGAGCAGGCTGTGGGCTCACTTGATCATTTTCTTTTTTGAGCGATGTTCGCCGCCGCGTGCTGCGTCGATCAGTGGTTGTAGATGCCGTCGATTGGGGCGAGCTTGGTTGCATGGGGGCTGAAGGAGATCCTGGTAAGGCGGACTCGGCTGTTTTTCCATGGCTGCTGCCGGCAATGCTACCACGGCTGCTGCTGCTGCCATCGCTATATTTGTGGCGGGAAGACGCGGTGCTAGAAGAGGCAGATTTGCTCGGATTGTGAAGGCTGGGCACGACTGATTGGCGGTATTTCTCTCGGATGGCGGCGACAACATCAGCAGCCACGTTGTACTTTGCGAGTATGGCTTCCACAGCTCGATTGGCGGCGTCTTCTGTTTCGATCTCAGCTTGAATGGCACTATTAAAAATCTCGACGTGATTGCGCAGGTTGGCCAGGTGTTCTGCCGTCACGCACGCTCGATGCAGGCTGGCGAGGAACCGTATTTCCAGCTCGGAACGGCTGGTCGGGCGTGGTTGTGCTCGCGTGGGCATCGTTTCGTCTGCCTTGGGGCCGTGGAGGTCGTCCTGCATTCCAGCATCCGGCGAGCGCTCGTTCATCTGGCCTTTGTGGTCTGCGTTTGCGGGCGCTAAGAGTTCGTCAACATCTTCTCCTTTGGTGGTGGGGGAGGATGTCCGGGACCGCAAAGAGGGGGTGAAACTGGCCGGCGGCGAATTGAAACGAGAATCAAGTCTTGTGTCAGTTTGGGATTTTATGGCAGCCGTGGCATGAGCCGTAAAAGTGGATCCAGCACTGGATGCCGGTTTGCCTTGTGTGGTGGACGAAGAGCACGACGAGTCATGATCGGAAGAAGGTTTGACAAGAGAGGGTCCCGAACCTGGGGGCAGGCCATCCTTGCGCGGGCGCCCGCGACCCCGCCGCACGAGAGCACCGTTTGGTCCATACATGTATCTTGGCGGTGGCTTGGCATTGGAGCTTCGGGAAGATGCCACGTTGTCGGTGCCAGCCGCGGCAAGATGCGGGTCGTCAGAGGGAGAGGGGGATGGGGTGTTGAAAATGTTACCCATGTCGTCGGCGGAGCCTGCACACAAGCTGTTGCGTCTTTGTGCTGTCGACTTTGACAAGCGCTTTTGTTTGCCTTGTGGGAGAGAACAGACAACGGGATTTGATGTTAGGGATCAAGGCAAACCGAGGAGCTGGCGCACTCTGTGAGTCAGACTGGCCTGTAAGAGGTGCGGGAGGGGGATGGAGCTCACGTTGTTTGCTTTTGGAGGTTGAATCAGGCGTGGGCGCTGATGGTCTGCCGTTCCTGGGCGAACTGGCCTTTGAGTTGGCCTTTGAGGCGGCCTTTGAGTTGGCTTTCGCTGAGTTGGTCTTGGATGAGCTTCCCTTGGATGAGCTGGCCTTGGATGAGTTGGTCTTGGATGAGTTGGTCTTGGATGAGTTGGTCTTGGTAGCGGAGGTGCCCCTGGGCGCCGTGGTCTTTGTCCCTGCCGCCTTGGGTGTTGATCCAGCCGGCGGTGGCGGCGTTGGAGCTCCTATCAAGCATGCCAATGAGCAAGAAGTGGGAGGCAAGATGGGGCGCGAAGCATTTGAATAGACACAAAGCAGGGAGAGACAGAGAGAGAGAGAGAGAGAGAGAGAGAGAGAGAGAGAGAGAGAGAGAGAGAGAGAGAGAGAGAGAGAGAGAGAGAGAGAAACAAAAAGCACCACACATCCCACTCGGCGCGAGGGAGGCAGGCAGGCAGGCAGGCAGGCAGGCAGGCAGGCCAGAGAATCGTACGAAGCTTCAACGGTGCAGGCTCGCAATAAGGATCAAGGGGTTGCGGGGGCAGGGGCGGTCGCGAGAGGTTGGCCGTCGTCCAGGCTTGAAAGGCCGGATCCTCAAACGTCCAAAACAGATCGTCGGGCAGCGGGAAGGCTTGTCGCAGGTACTGCACAGCCTCTGTCGTGTCGTCGTTCCCGGTGGTGACAGTTGCAGCCATCGAACAGCGCGTTGCACCGCCGCCGTCGTCGTCCTCCTCAATCATGACTACGGTACACCCGCGGCCACTGTCACCGCCATTTCTGTCTCTTCCAAATCAAAAAACGAGAGAGAGAGAGGAGAGAGAGAGAGAGACAGAGAGACAGAGAGAGAGACAGAGAGAGAGAGAGACAGAGAGAGAGACAGAGAGACAGAGACAGAGAGAGAGACAGAGAGAGAGACAGAGAGAGAGACAGAGAGAGAGAGACAGAGATGAACAGCAAAACTCGAGAGATGAATTTCGAAGCCAACAGATACCCCTCTAATGTAAAACCGAGACAAAGTTATTTTAGAGAAGACGCGCTTTCATTTCCAGGAGGAGGATATTTTCGCTTCCAAGCGATCCTCGACGTGGGTTTTAACCTCGTGCACTTTTTTTTTACCACTCGGTACGTGCGCTCTGATACAGAAAGTCTGCGGAAGACCGAGACCGGGGTTGGCAGGCCCTGGCTCGGGGCCTTGATGTGATTGTCGCGATGGCAGTGCGGGTGGCTGGATGAGCTTCCAGAGTCAAGAAGTGTGCGCTTCGTTGCCCCTGGCTTCAGCCTTGCCTGGCATGGCATGGATATGCTTGGCGTCGTCGCCATTCGCCGACGCAGCAGGCCACACTCGGACTTGCTCAGCCACTCGCTTCTGTCGCGATGGCTCGCTACGGCCCATGTGCTGGATGAGTCTTGGCGGGGCTTGGCACGAGCCCAGCCGTTGGACTTTTGTCGTTCATGTTGCCTGATCCAAAAGACATACAGCCGCCATTCCAATGCCACCGCTGGTTTTGTGCATCTCATGTCATTTTCCGTCTCGCGCCATGTTCCTGGTGTGCTTCCGACCACTCTGCAGGCACGATGGGTCGTTTCCTCAAGGAGAAGAAGGTTTGTCTTTGCTTGTCGAGAGATGTGACGGCTGAATATGTCTGGAAGAGCGTTTTATCTCTCCTTGAGCATTATTCTCTTTTCCAGACGCTTTTGAGATGAATCCGCGCCCCCTCACAAGCGCTTCTGTTTGTCTCATTGGCAGGTTGTCATCCTTCTCAGCGGCCGTTATGCCGGCCGCAAGGCCGTCATTGTGACCCCCTTTGACGAGGGGTATGTAATTTGCTTTTTCAAACAGCTCGTAGGCGTGGTCACAATGGGACAGGATGTGGTCATTTGTTTCAGCCAAAACCGTCATCGCGTATAGCTTCCTCGGTACATTGGTGCTGCGTCTCACGCTCACGTCACCATCATTGCCCACGTCAACAGAAGCGGCAAGCCTTTCGGCCATGCCTTGGTTGCGGGTATCGACCGTTACCCCCGTAAGATCACCAAGCGCATGTCTGAGAAGAAGATTGCCAAGAAGAGCACCGTCAAGCCCTTCCTCAAGGTTGTCAACTACAACCACATCATGCCCACTCGGTATGTCTCTTGTACATTCGCTCCACCCTGCATCCAAAGCTGCATGCATGGTTTATTTTGAACGTTGTGTGTGTGTTATGTGCGGGTGCCGCACCATGTTCCGCTCATGATCTTGTGTTTTCTTTCAAAATTTGCAGCTACTCGGTCTCGATCGACCTTGACAAGGCCAAGGTCTCCAAGGCCGCCCTCAAGGACCTGAGCGCCAAGTCCAAGGCTCGCAAGGAGATCAAGTCCAAGTTCACCAAGCAGTACAAGGCCGGCGAGGATAAGTGGTTCTTCCAGAAGCTGCGATTCTAAATTGGAAGTCGTAGATATTGCACACAACACCAATCTCTACTCGTTGATCGACCATCATCAGTGCTTCCTTGTCCGTTTTATTCACCATGCTTCAATCGGAGAGGTTTCCCTGTCGGCGAGCGGTCACGGCTATTTCCATTCACATGATGATACACATTGTGCGCACGACATGACTTGTTTGGTTCATGCGGCGACACGGGCCGACCACAGGTGCAGCCTGATCTTATGACAGGGTGAAGGGGGACACAACTCAGGGAACGTGATGGTTGACAAGTCGATTGTCGAGGCGCGGCTCAGCCGCTAGTTGAAGCATAAGGAAATCACAGCACACAGCACAGGGAGCTCTATTGTTGCGTCTTGGCCCGAGGCTGCGAAGCGCAAAAGACAGGATGGAGGAGGGGGGCGACCAATTTGTGAAAGCTTGCGCGTGTCGTCACATCATGCAGATGGCTGTTCTTTAGTGTGGCTTTTGCTGTCATGTTCAACGCTGTCATCCGAGTCAGGGTAGGACACGAGCAAGGTGGCCTTTGACTCCAAGGCTGGGGCAGCCTGCTCGTCAGTGACAGCGGACGTCGACGCATCTCGCTGTGGCGTGCGCGAGACCAAGTCACTACGGCGCTGGCGGCCTTCTGCAATGGCTTGCCGTTGCTGCTGACGATATGCCTGGCGTACGAGTGCTGCGGGGACAGACGTGGCGCCCTGGCTCGGGCTGGCGGCCGACTTGCCAAAGATGCTCGCTTGGCGGATTTGACGACGCACAGCCTGGCCGGCGGCTCGAGCAGAGCGGGTGGCCGGGGATGTTTTTTTCTGGCTTTGAAAGGACACGCGGCGCGCGTGCGCGGCGTCACTGTCGTCTTCTGGGAGCAGCTCAAGGTCCTGGATGCCAGCGCGCTCCTTGAGAACATCGTCGGCGGCCTGCTGGCGCTGACGTTCCTTCTTCTCGGCGCGAAAGGAGCGACGGAGGGCGGCGTTGGTATCGTAGTCAAACTTTGTTGTGCGGTCTTTGAGTTCAATGAGCTGAAGGAGCTGGGGCTTGGCCTTTTTGGCGCGTGCCTGGTCAGAAGCGTCGTGCTCCAGGCGGTACATGGCGTCGGCCGCGCGCTTGGCCTTTTCGGCGTCATCAGGCAGGTCAATGACCTGGGTAGTAGCAGGATCCCATTGTTCATTCTTACGGCGCGCGCCCTCGGTGATTTTGTAGTCGCAATTCTTGGGGTCTGTCTCGAAAACAAAGTGGTTGTCGCAGAGGTGACACTTCATGCGAAAGGCCCAGATCGGGGTGGTGTAGTAGTTGCCCACGCGCTTTTTCTCAGCGTTGTAGCGAACGCCGCGTTCGACATGTGCGCCACAGCCGCCACACCAAAAGTTCCACGGGGCTTCAAAGCGGATGATGAGGATGCCCTGCGTAATTTTACGCGCACGCTCGCGCAGCGCGTGCACGCCATGGTAGCCGTTCAATGACCCATGCACCGCCGGGTCAAAATCTGGCGGGTAATACTTGTTGGTGCCCTTGCGCTCGCCCATGATGCGCCGCCGGCACCAAGCCTCCGTTCAACAACAGAGCCAACGGCCCTCTCTGACCCAATCTGCTGCGGCTCACCGGCCCGGGCGCCACGGCCGATGCTGATGCAAAGATATCCGCAGCAGCCGTTGCACGGAATGAGGTGTGTTCGTTCCGATGCGTCGTCGCAACCTCTAATGTTGATTTTGTGTGAAAAAAATGTCTGACAGTCGCAGCACAAGAAGAGAGATATTGTGAGTGTGTGTGTGTGTGAAACGAACGAAAGGGATGGAGGTGTTCTTCGATTGAGATGAATCGGGCACTAGGAGTCAAGGAAACAGGGCGAGTCGCCTCGGGCGACAAGGGGGGGCCACGAAAGGATGGGCCTAGATAGCTAAGTGACGCATGAAACGATGAATAGCGGCATGACGGCGTGCCTGTGCCTATGTTGACCCAAAAACAAGCTTGACACATTTGGCACGCGCAAGGGGCCGGCAAGTGTCACGCCGAGGGCTTGCTTGCTTCGAGCTTGTTTTGAGAAGCGGCCTGTGTGGCCAAGTTGCCGCTTCCCCATTGGGGCCAAAGGCGGAAGGAGGGCATGACGCTGTAGCCCACGGCTTTCCAGATGGCTTGGCCTCCAGACTTTTGCAGCGCAGGGTCACCCAGGGTAGCGGTGAGAAAGTCGACGGTATGATCATGAATGCCCTGGTCATCAAGGACACCGTGGGAAGTATAGACGCCAAGTTCAACGCTCTTGCGGCGCACCACTTCAAACTCCATGAGATCGGCAACCATCTGCGCGGCTTGCATGCGAGTCACTGGGTCATCCAAAACGCGCTTGGCCATTTGTGAGACGGCCGCCTGGGTGTCGTCACGGCGCAGGACGTCAATGACCAGCTTGGCCAAGTTGGTTTGCGTGGTCGGATCCTGAGCCAGCCAACCCACGATGGAACCGGCCAGCTCTTGCGTCTGTTTACGAGCCGAGGGATCCTGCATGACCCAGACGAGGAGATTGACGGTGGCACGCTGCGTCTCGGGCATGCGAAAAAGTTCTTGCAAAAAGGTGCTGGCATTTTCTGCGATGCGCGGGTCGGTGAGTAGGCGTTGGAGGACCTCTTTGGTCAACTCGTTGGCCTGCTCCACGACCTCCTTGTTCTCGAGGGAGCGCCGCGTCACGCCCGCCACCTCGTCGGACACACTAGCTCGGATAGGTTCACGATAAAAGTACATGAGCAGGCCCGCAGAAGCCAGGATGCCGCCAAGAATGCGCAATGTATTGTACCCATGCCAGCGCATGTAATCTTCCATCTCCATGTAGCGGGCCAGTGTGACGCGAGCAGCCTCGCGAACGCTGTCCGCGTTGGGTATGTGTGCCCCGGTTGCACCCGCTGCCCCACCTGCACCCGAGGTTGGCCCCGTAGCCTTGGTGCCAGAATGAGGCAAGCTGCTGGGACGTGGGCCACTGAGGCCGCCGGGGCCGCCGGGACCGCCGGAGCTGCCGGAACCGGACGAAGAGGAGGCGAGTCGTGCGAAACGGCGCCGGCGCGCCGAACGGGCAGAGACAGGCTCACGCAGCTGCATCGGTGAGGTAAACGCCTGTGGACTCGTGACCTGGGTGGATCCTGGAGCACGACTTGGGACCGGCAACGTGTGCTCCAGCACGCGCAGGGCGGCCCGTCGCAGCGGTATCCGCCACATTGCAGCGAGCGAGACCGGTGAAGCAACGCGGTGAAATCACAACGCGCGTGCGTTGGCCGTCCTAACTAATGCTGCAACAGGTGCAGGTGAAAAGCGTGAATATGCGAACCGAACCCTCCTTCTCCGCAAGCTTCTCTTGTGAGGTGGTACGATGAGTCCCCTCACCGTCACCTATGCCCCTCCGCCGCCATTCAGTGACTCGCGCATGAAGAGAGAGAGAGAGAGAGAGAGCAAAAAGCCGAGAGAGAGAGAGAGAGGAACACACAACAAGCGCGTGATGGTGTGTGATGCGATGTCATGAGCAACGCGTGCTATGCACAGCACGAAAAAGTATTTCGCACAGTACATTACTTGATGGACTTCAAAGCTATACCCGTCTACATAAGTATAATACTATATTATATCTTAGGTTGATATGGGCAGTCCTTTCCTCCGACACATCATCAAGCACTACCGTGAAAAGTAAAATACTAAAATAATAGTTCAATAATGTAAAATACATGTGAGTGCCTTCGGTTGTATTTTTCGTCAAGTTTGATTGGGTAAATCAGTTGATTGTTTGGCAGCGCGGGAACGCCCTTGCCCGGTGCACCGCTTGCCGCCTCAGCTGCTGGCGCCGTCGTTGGCTCTTCTGGCATGGTGTTCCGCTGCTTCTCTTATCTTTGATGGAGGGAAGGGAGCGTGCACTTTGCTGAAGAGTGAAGAGACGTGCCAGCCGGCTGCCGTTTGCGTTTGGATCTCCTGCCGTCGTCGATGTCGTGTGCACTCATCCGCTGGCTCTTCTCGACAGGCTTTTTCCTTTCCTTTCCGGCTATTCGAGGGCGTTACCCGTCCTTGGCTGCCACACCACACGTGGTACTGGTTGCGCGGCACAGCAATGGCTGGCGTGCGTTTGGGTCTTTCCTTTGGTGAGGGGGCTGCCTCCGTTATTCGTTGGAAGTTGCCAGGACAAGCTCGTTGAGCCTCTAGACATCCTTCTGTCCAAGCAAGGTCCTCTTTTGCGGACCAAAGGCGGGTCACCAACCAGCCTCCAGGCCATCTTTGAACATTTACGCTTGTCGCTATCGCGAGACATGTTGCGAGTGCTGACCCGCCTGCCGCGCCTGGGCCGTGGCCTCGTTGGCGCGCGATGGCCGGCAGCTGCTCGTACCATCGTGCCGGCTGAAAGCCTCGCTCTGGGCCGACGCCACCTGGGCCTGGCCTCACCAGAAACTCAAGTCAATGTGCTGCCACGCCCCTCTGAGGGGCACCCGCACCTCTTGGCCGCGGACCAAAGCGATTCCGCGACCCTTACACTCGAGTGGAGCACGGGTCAAATCACGACGCTCGACTTGGCCTGGGCCTTTCATCAATGCCGTTGCTCTACCTGTGTTCAAGCCGGAAGGTTTGTTTTGATTCATCTGCTTTTGCTCGCATCTTTCTCCCCTCTCCCCTTTCCAAATGCATCTGTTCCAATCTGGGCGTGACTGTGGTGCAACTCCATGATATGCAATCCTGGCGATTATGCTCCCCCCCCCGCCCCTTGCAGTGGCCAGCGCCAGCGCTATCCTCCCGACAATGCCCTTCAACACAATGAAGAGCTGCAAGCCGTACGCTGGCAGCCCCAGCAGGGGCATGTTGAGCTGGACGTGGCTCGGCCCACTCCCACAGGCCTGCAAGTGATCCACACCGTCGTTTTGCCTGAAGACGCTCTGGCTCGTTCGCTTCGAGCCACGCAGGTGCTCGCTGACACGCGACGCACGCTAACACCTCTAAATCTGGTTGAGCCAGCCAATTTGGCTGTTCATCGTTACACAGATGTGGTGCAGGGCGACACGCCGCAACTCTTTGCCTGGCTTGACGACATGGCCAACAAAGGCGCCGCCCTTCTCGTGGATGCTCCCGCTGGCGATCCCGATGCCCGCGTCGTCGACCTTGCGGCTCGAATCAGTCAGCCCATGGTAGGTATTGATACAAGTGCGTGTAACACTGCATGTGTTCTCTTGTACATTTCATTGGTGTGTGTGTGTGTGTGTGTGTGTGTGTGTTCATCTCGTTTGCTCCTTGCTCTCCATTCAGCCGACCATCTACGGCGCAACTTTTGACGTGGTGGCGACGGAAAACCCCATCAACATTGCCTACTCCAGTGTGGCCTTGGATTTGCATCAAGACCTCGTATATTACGAGTCAACTCCAGGTCTGTAGTATGGAGGCTTGCTCTCACCCGCTTGTTTTGGCCCAGCACTCAGTCGTGGGGTTCGGTTTTGCTTGCGTGCCACTCTTGTGCTGTTTGGGCAGGCCTGCAGTTTTTGCATTGTGCCGACTTTCACGAGACGATTGAGGGTGGTGAATCGCTGCTGATGGATGGCCTGGCCGTGGCTGCTCGGCTGCGCGATCAGGACCCTGACGCCTATCACCTGCTTCAACAAGTACCCATGACTTTTGAAAAGGTGTGTTTAATCTCTTGTGGCCAAAAGAAAGTCCCATGTTTCCTTTGGAGTCTTATTTGTTTTACTTTACGTGTCGGGTTTCCTGCCTTGACACGTTTTCCTATTCTGTCTCATGGGGTGGGGGTTTCAACCTGTAGGTGCACTATGATCGGGCACTGCCCGCCCATTTGGTGGCGCAACGACCCATCATTACGGCCGACCCCGAAAGTGGCGAGCCTTTGGAGCTGGTTTGGGCGCCTCCCTTTGAAGGGGCTTTGCCCTTTCTCGAGCCCGGTCTCTGTCGCCGCTACTTTGATGCCTACGCAGCGTTGGGCATGGTGATCCGCGAAAGCACTGATTTGCTCATCGAGCATCGGCTTCTTCCCAACGAGACGCTCTGCTTCAACAACCGCCGGATGCTGCACGGCCGTCGCAGCTTTGTGCTCCATGAAGGCCACATTCGCTTTCTCAAGGGCGTTTATGTCAACATTGACGAGTTTGTCAGCCGCCACACCAGCCTGAGCCAGCTCTTGGGTCTTTCTCTGCCCACCGCCCGTTATGGTCATGGCGTCGCCCCCATGTGGTAAGGCGCCATCCCACTAAAGAGTGTGTTCAACACCAGGCGGCACAAAAATAAAAAAAATAAAAAGACAAAACAAAAAAAAAACAAAAGAATTGATGTCTTGTTTAGTGTGACGTTTTACACTTTCTCTCTCTCTCTCTCTCTCTCTCTCTCTCTCTCTCTCTCTCTCTCTCTCTCTCTCTCTCTCTCTCTCTCTCTCTCTCTCTCTCTCTCTCTCTCTCTCTCTCTCTCTCTCTCTCTCTCTCTGTCTCTCTCTCTCTGTCTCTCTCTCTCTCTCTTCCTGTTACACACCGGGCGCTCGTGCCCCGTTATGACATCGGCACACACACACACGCACAGTTTCTCTCTCTCTCTCTCTCTCTCTCTCTCTCTCTCTCTCTCTCTCTCTCTCTCTCTCTCTCTCTCTCTCTCTCTCTCTCTCTCTCTCTCTCTCTCTCTCTCTCTCTCTCTCTCTCTCTCTCTCTCTCTCTCTCTCTCTCTCTCTCTCTCTCTTGACTGAAGAGGGGGCAGAAGAGCTAGCGAGACATTGTTATAGAGACGCTCTAGTGCGGTGCGGGTAATGTGCTGCCCATTTTGGGTTGACCTCCTTGCGCTTTTGGCATTGAATAACGGGGGCGGTTGGTGCTGTGAGACTTGAGTGTTCGTGCACGGCACAGGCAAGGTGTGGCGCGGGGTGGAGTACAACTCGCTTGTGCGGTCAGTGGCAGTTTTCAATCCGAGCATCATGGCATTGCATCACCAGCACCTCAAGCGTTGCCTGACGGCCATCAAGGCCGTCGATGAGCGACTCCACGTCATTGAGAGCCAAGACATGACCCAGCTGGAGCCCAATCCCACCAACATCCGACTTGTCACCTACAATGTCCTGGCCGATTGCTACGTGCGCCACCATCTGCGTACGTTCAATGTGCACTGCAAGTTGCTCATCTGTGGTCGTATGACGTACACAGCCTGTCACAAGTCTGGGGTTCGGCATCTTATTCTGGTGGCGCTTTGGTGGAACTGATCTGCGCAGGCAATGAGGAGAAGCGGAAGCATTATTTTGGTGACATCCCGGAAGAGCATCTCCAGTGGTCCCACCGCTGGCCCTGCATTCAGCAGGAAGTTCGGCGCCTCAAAGGCGACATTGTCTGCATGCAAGAGGTGGAGTTTGCCAAGTTTGACGACGAGTTTTGTCCCTTTATGCAAAGCCTGGGTTATGATCGATGCATCATGCAAAACGATACGGTGCGTTTGGCCGGCGTAGGATGGTCGGCGTAAAAGAGTTGAGCAGCGTTGTTTGTGCAGGATGGAGCAAGCAAAGAAAAGGGGTGGCTCGGGATGGCCGGAGAGACCAATGGGAGTGGGGAGGGCTACTGGTCTAGGTGGTGAGCTCTGATCGAGATGACGCGGCGTGGGGCTTTGTTGTGCTGTGGATAGAATCGCGAGCCAGACCACCCGGTGGGCGTGGCAATATTTCTGCGCAGTGCGCGGTTTGAGGTTACCAAGGAGCACCATCGCAGCCGGGCCTTGATCCTGGGCCTGCAGGACCGTGTGACGTCGACATCGCTAGCCCTTGCAAATTGTCACCTTATTGCGCAGGCATCGCGGGAGGCTGATCGACTGCGGCAGGCCGAGAGCGTGATGCGATTGGTCGAGCGTCTCAATGCGGACGCGACTGTAGTGCTGGGCGACTTTAATGATGAGGAACATACCCGATGCGTTCGGTATGTGCTGCAGCAAACGCTGGCTCTGCGCGCGGGCGCACCGCATGCCCAGGCGCTCGAGGCGCAAGGACAAAGCGTGTTTGCAAGCACCAGTAGCTCCGGCGGCCCTGAAGGAGAAGCGCCAGCTGAAGAGGAGAGCGACGCCGAGGGGGACGCTACAGAGGCAACCGAAGCGAGTGCGGCGGCAGACGAAGTGGTGGCATCCTTGGACGGACACCGGTTGCTCATGTACTCGGCGTACGAGAACGTCGACCTGTTCACGTTTGTGGCCCGCTATCTCGTGTCTCGGATGGACCACGTGCTGTTGTCGAGCAACTGTGAGCTGGTGGCACGGCACGCCCCGTTTGCACCCGAGACGCGGGACGCAGTGTTGGCACATCTTTTGCCCAGCGCGCAGCATGGCTCGGACCACTTACCGGTGGCCGTGGAGGTTCGGATTGATCGGGAGGTGGTGTGTCGGGCAGCCACACCAGAGACAGATCGGGTAGATCCAGCTCTATACATGACGTCGGAGCTGGTGGCCGAGTGGCAGCAGCTGTTGCGACAGGCCCCGCCTCGGCCGAAGGGTGGCAAGCCAACAGGGGCAGAGCTCGCCCGGCTCAAAGCCTTTGCAGAGGATAAGCGGCAGCTTTTAGCCACGCTGCCGGAATCGGCGCGCCCCCTGCTCAAACGCGTCACGCTTGAGACAGATCCTGCGACGGTTGTCAAGAGCAGTTGATGATACATTCGTGGCCTTTCCGTCGCGTCGTGGGCATTTGTGTGCATGTGTATGCGCGCGCGCGCGTGCTCAATTTAGCTGCATATTCTTGATTGTGTCATGAAGACCACCAATGAACACATCAAATCAAACGATGGTGAGCCCGTTTGCCGTGACAAAGGGGACTGCACTTGCCCAGAGTGGGTGGGCCTTGTGGCGCCATGTGTCGAGGCATGAGAGTGCGTGACATCCAGGGGATGTATGAATCTATGGGGGTTGTAAGAACAAGCAGATTGCGTTTACTTTGTTGTGTGGGACCACGGGTCCAAGAAGAGGCAGGCCTAGGCTTGGCCGACTTGGGAAAGATTGGACGGGCGATCGTTATGTCGTCACGGGAGGGTGGGCGGAGATTGAGGGATCAGCGTTCACAATGAGCTGACGGACGTATTGTGTGTCGAGGCAGCACTCTCCCGAACTTTTGCTCTTACGAGTATTTCAATGCCTCTCTTATATAATCATTTCATTTTGAAGGGTCACAGCTCTCGTTTTGAAGGGCCACAGCTGCATGACAGCTGCCGATTGGCCGCCCTCCAGCTGCAAGGGCCAGTACGACACGTGTTATAAGGGACACATGTGTCGTACGAATTTGCAGCTGCCGTTGTGGCCTTTCAGCTATTACGTCATCATATGGTAACGGCAGCTGTCCGATTCTGCATCTGAAGTAGCCACCACTTTACAACGCCTTTTAATCACTTGATACAGATCTATTCCACTCTACCGTGCAAGTTTGTGTAACTTCCAATCAAGTTGTTCATGATAGCTGTCACCAAGGACTGCAAAACAGGTGTCCAACTCTTTTTCGTGTGTGTGTGTGCAGAAATTCATGTGAGTGTGTGTCTCGTGTGTGTCTCGTGTGCGTGTCACGATGTGCACATGCAGAGAGAGAGTTGGCATCATCATCTCACATCACACACAACTGGAGCCCCTTATGACGCATTCACACACACACACACACACACACACACTCTCTCTCTCTCTCTCTCTCTCTCTCTCTCTCTCTCTATGCCCCTCTCTCTCTCTGTCTCTCTGTGTCGAGACGACAGGCGGAGGTGTGGGAGTGGGGAGTGGCATTTTCTTCTTGACCCTTTTCAGTTGGAGTTGGATACAGTCTTGCGTGTGTGGCGTTGGATGTGTGTCTCGCCACAGTGCGGATTACCACGAGCTTCGCTCTCGTCGCTTTTGCCGACTAACGGCTTGACGGCTCGTCATGGCGGCTCCCTCGAAGCGGGTCATCAACATGATTGATGTTGACTCGACCATTGGCAGCCTAATCCCCACGTCAGAGGCGTCCTCAGCGCCAACTAGTCACGTGCAAGAGTCGGCCACGGGCCGCGACCTCAAACAAGTCCGTTTGCACAACCGGACCAGCGGTGTTGTCGCCGATCACAACAAGTCCAACCACAAGCCCACCGACTTTCCATACTTTCTGCCTCATCGCATCGAGGAAGATGACGCCGATCTCTTCTTCGATCCCACTGACAAGGCCGTCGTTCAAGCTCAGGAGGACGCACGCGCCAACTCCGTCTTCAATCGCTCCGGCAAGGTGGCCCCCATGACCCTTCGCTTTGAGGATGTCAAGTACGAGGTCGATGTCGGGGATCCCAAAAACCCTCAGGTCAAGCCCATTCTCAAGGGCCTCTCCGGCCAGGTCGAGCCCAGCAGCCTCCTCTCCATCATGGGCGCTTCGGGCGCTGGCAAGACCACCCTCCTCAACATTCTCGCCGGCCGCCTCTCCGCTGCCGGCGGTGGTCGCACCTCGGGTCGCATCCTCGTCAATGGTCAACAACGCAACTATTCCACCTTTCGCAAGCTCTCCGCTTACGTTCTCCAGAACGATGTCTTTTACGCCGAGCTCACCGTGCGCGAGACCATCACCATCTCTGCCAAACTCCGCCTCCCCGCCGACATGAGCAAAGAGGAGCGCCAGCAACGCATTGACAACGTCATTGCCGAGCTCGGCCTCAAAAAATGCGAAGACACCCTTGTCGGTAACGACGTCATTCGCGGCGTATCCGGTGGTGAGCGCAAACGCTGCAACATTGGTACTGAGCTCGTCACCAACCCCACCCTCGTCTTCTGCGACGAACCAACCTCGGGCCTCGACGCCTTCAATGCCCAAAACGTCATGAGCAGCCTCCTCACCCTGGCTCGGGCTGGTCGCACCGTCATTGCCACCATCCACCAGCCTCGTTCCGAAATCTTTGGCATGCTCGATCAACTCATGCTGCTCAGCGAAGGTCACACCATGTACTTTGGCAAGGCGGCCAACGCCGTCAACTACTTTGATCAGCTCGGCTACGGCTGCCCCCCCACCTACAACCCCTCTGATTGGTTCCTCGACCTTGTCTCCCTCGATATTCGCAACCGTGATGCCGAACGCCAAACCAAAAAACGCATCCAATACCTTGCCGAGCGCTTCCGCGACTATGAACAGGTAAGCCTGCACTCAACCCGGTCGCGCTGGCTTCCCTCTCTTCTCTGGCCAGTCCTTCTCCTTCTCTGCTCTCATGTGCGCCCAACACCCTCTGCTGCTGGCTTGTCCGCCACTCGCTGCGTAGAAACACCCCATGTCTTCTGTCAAGACAATCCGTGGCGGTGCTCCCCTGGCGCTGACGTCCAGCGATGCCGAAGCCGGGAGGACTGAAGACCCGGACAGCAACTATGCCGTCTCATGGGGCCGCCAATTTTGGATTCTTCTTCAACGAGCTGCCACCATCACCTCCCGCGAAAAAGCCACCAACATGGCTCGTTTCATTCAGGTGACCACGCGCACCTTTTCTGATTTGCTTGATGGATAGCGACATCACCTTTGCTCACCGTGACGCCCTATCCTACGCTTGTCCGATTGTTGCTTTTGTGGATCGGCCATAGTCTTTGATCTTTGGTCTGCTTTTGGGCTTGATCTGGCTGCAAGAAGGTGGCGATGAGAGCACTCGCGTCCGCTCCACCGCCGGTGCCCTCTTCTTTGTACGTTGTGTAATGACATACGCAGTTTCCGCCAAACCGTTTCTTGCATGGTTGCCCGCATGTGTGTGGACGCGTCCAAGCTCACAACCTCACTGGATTCGCTTGTCATCTTTCACATGACAGTTGATCATGAACCAGAGCTTTGGCGGCGTCTTTAGTATTATTTTCGTTTGTACGTCTGTGCAGCTTCTCATGACCCAATCTCGACCCAAAGCAGCGCGCTGCGTAGCCCTCGGCTGACTCTTGCTTTTGTTGCGCGCTCGCATCAAACAGTTCCTGAAGAGAAGGCCATCATTCATAAGGAGCGATCCTCTCGGTATGACGCGGTGTGCTGCAGAGCGTGTTGGACACCCCCGGCCAACGCTGGCATCTCATGTTTGACCTCATCTCACTTTGTAATCTTGGATTCAGATCTTATCAAGTCGGCGCTTACTTTTGGTCCAAGATGCTGGTCAACATTCCTCGATCGCTCCTGGCCAATTTGATCTTTGCCATCATTTCGTACTTTATGATTGGTTTCCGCCTCGACGCGGGATCCTTCTTTGGCTTCCTCCTCGTTGTCTTCCTGGCCACCCAAGCTGCGGAGAGCATTGCCTACTGTGTTTCCGCCATCTCCGACACTGCCCAGAAAGCTGGTCTGTTGCCTGTACCTTTTCATGTTGACAAGCGGATCGGGGCGGCCAGCATAAACTCCAATTCCACTCCAAGACTGATGTCGTCTGACTCATGCGCGCCTGCTTTTTCATGTTGTCCCTTCCCAGGTGCGATTGCGCCAATCTTTGTGGTCACCAGCATGCTCTTTGGTGGATTTTTCATCAGCCAAGAAGATATCCCTGTTTGGTTGAGCTGGTTGCAGTACCTCTCTTGTACGTAGAATGACATCTCGTTTGATCTCAGCTTCGCTCCATCCTTTTTGATTCACCGGAAAAAGAGCATGCACATCATCCCGCGCCGCTTTGATCCTCCAATGACAAATTCTCATGCACATGTGCACATGTGCTTAGATGTCAAGTATGCTTTTGCTGGCTTGATGCAAATGGAGTACCAAAGCCGTGACCTGGACTCGTCAGGCTGCGATTTCAGCGACTCGACTGAATCCACGTTTTGCCCTCCCACGGGCGCCGATGTCTTGGACTATTGTACGTTTCCTTCCTTTGCTGCGTGAAATCTGCCTCGGGGCCAGCGTTTGCAACCATATCCCGCGCGCTCACAATCTGCCTTGTTTTGCGGCCTTACTTGCAGATGACATTAATGAGATTAACTTTGGCATCAATGTGCTAGCACTAGTTCTTATGGCGGTTGGCTTCCGCGCTTGTGCATATGGATGCCTCCGTGGTCGCGGCCCGAAGTATGACACGACCATCTAAATGTGGGGGCAACGCCCTCGCCATACACGCTTTCTTCTGTTGTTTTCTATCTCTGCTTTGATCTCTGTTTTGTCCTGTTTTGCGGGAAGAACAACTCAGGTGGCACGCGCGCCCCACTTTTCGAGTGCTGGTCCGGCGTGTGTGTTATTGTGGTGGTGAGCATGTACTGCGAATTGTATTCCTTCGTTGGAGGTTGGTCTATCATGTCGTGAATATCATGAAGATGCACATGCTGTCCAAGGGTTTTTGGGTGCGTTGCATGAAGCGTGCACTGTGAGACTCGCTTATCAGTTGTAAATTGACATCCGTATAGTATGAGCTTGGTGTGTGCTAAGACCAAGGGTCAGTAAAGACCCAAGAAAAAAAAAGGAAGAATGCGGGGCGTTTGCGCGGACGTGTGTGTGTGTGTGCGGGTGTAGGTGTGCAAACATCGTTTACATCATGGCACACCATGGCGGTACAACAAGACATCAAGACCAGCAGCGAATCAAGGACAGACAGGGGCCAGCATATGCCGGCTTTTACGCTCGCACAATTGTTTAACAAGCACGGGAGCCAAAGACAGGCGCATCCCTACATGACGTCGACAGGGACATCCATGACGTGGGTGGCGACGTTGACGAGAGCCGTTGTTACGTTGAGGGCTACATTGTCAAGCCAGCTCAGGTCGTCGCGGCAATCCACCTGGGCCAGCACGAAGCCGTGCCATACAAGGAATAGCAGCTGTCGACAGGCATGGACGAGTGCCGAGTCAGAAGTGCACAGCGTGTTTTGTTTTTTTCTACAGCACGGTGATGAGTCGACGGGGAAGGCTGAGCCATGCGCAAACGTACCGCAAGCAAAGGCAGCATCCACCAAAGTGCACACAAGCATGTGCTCGCGGGGTGAGGAGAGCTGTTTGAGGCTTGGGCCACGGTGCTTGCCAAGGTGTCCAGCTTGGTATCGACGGCTTGCAAGTGGGAGCGGAGCGTGTTGCACTCGAGTAGGATATCTTCCTCCTCACGACGAGTGGATGAGGTGGAGCTGGCTAGGGCAGCGGCTCGAAGTTCGGCAAAGAGGGTGGCCTCGCGCGCGAAAAGCCCTTGGACGGCGTCGATCTCGGCTTGCACATCCTCTCGCCGCAGGGTCGATTCCTGTAGCATGGAGGTGATGGAGCTAGTAGTCGTCGTGGTCCGTTGGGAGCGGTGGTGGGTGGTACCCTCGATCTTGATGCGTTCTGTCTCAGTGCGTGTACCACGCTCCTCACTCTGGGCAAAGCTAACGTTGGGCGAGGCCTCATCTGCGGAGGGGTTGACCGTTGCGGCGGCGCCCGTTTTTTTCCTAGCAAGAGCCAGCAGGTGCCGAGTGAGACGGCATGCCAGCACAGGATGAGTCGAAGACTGATGAAGAAGGGGGTGCATGCACTGATCAAGCAATTCGCATGTTCTCCTCACACATATATCCCTCCTCACGACGCGTCCAGTAACCGACATGCATCGGATACCGAGACACGACGACCAGCCCAGCGCCGAGCGAGCGACCGAGCGACCGAGCGACCGAGCGCCGAGAGCGAGGTCAAGCACGCACCGATTTTTGTTGCCCATAGTGCCGTTATGAGATACTGTGTAAATAGTCACACTTTCAATACGACCAGGGTATGACAATCTGACAATCTAACATTGTCTGACAAAGGTTCACTTGTTGTTAGATGTGTAGAGAGAAGATGATGATGTATAGACTTATAATGTAGTTTGCATAACCATATTCAATCAAGAAGATGTAGCAAATGTCGTAGAAGATGCAGTTTTGAAGTAGATGTAGTATCATCAGCAAAAGATGTAGAAACTATACCAAGGCTTAAGATAGAAGATGCAGGCGTAGCAGCATATGTTGTAGAAGGCGCGACGTGATCGAAGCAAGCGTTCGAGGACCTGGGTCCAAAGGGCAGCGGGGTATACAAAGCCAACCCAAGACCTCTGCCCCCGCGCCGCCTTTGCGCCGTCCCATCTCACGGAGGGGCACACGCGATCACCATGAGCCGTTGCACAATTTCTCCATTTGTGTGCATGGGGCAGTAGACGATACTCAGCATCCGCGATGAGGAGTAATCGCGGTCCTTGATGCAATGTGGACCTGGATGTGCCCATCGGAGAGGAAAAAAAGGGAAGGAAAAAAAAAAAACCGTTTTTTACTCACCCATTCTACTATTCCCGGTGGTGTGGAGTGTGGGGGAACGGAGGGAGGGTAGTGGGGCTGGTGCGGTCGTGGCACACAGACACGCCAGATGGTGCGGCCCGGACAGAGGCCCGGGATAGAGACACGTGCCAGAATTTGGGCCATTTGGACAAAGGGGGTTGCTTGCGGTGGATGCTGGCTGATGCACAATAAGGGGAATTGACATAATACATGCATCGGTTTTATAGACTCGCGCTGGTCGTGGAACCTGAACAGCCGCCATCGAATCGCCGCTTTTTAGAGTCGGTGCGGGGCAGGCAACCATATGGGTGCGCAAGGGCATGTATGCCTAGCATCAAAGTTCGCGTCACAAATTTTGCGAGTTGCGTCTTGATCACGCCGGCTCGATCACCGAATCACACCGCTCGCATCTCATTTCGATTCGGATCCGGCCTCTCGTCCTCACTCCTGATATGTTTGGGCCTCTGGGTGCGTGCCAGGCCACGAAACATGAAGCGAGTGGGCGGTGGTGTGCTGGGCGGGCGTGGTGCACTTTATGGAGAGTCGGGACGAAACGTCCACGCGTGCGACTTGATCTGCCAACAGGCCAGCCTTCTCGGCCAGAGACAGCGGTAGGGGAGGAGGAGGAGGAGGAGAAGGAGAAGAAGAAGAAGGCGAAGACGAAGAAGAAGAAGAGCCGGCATGTTCCGTGCCCCTATACGCCACCCTATCCCCAGTACACACGTGTATCACCTGGAGGCGGGGCCGCAGGCAGGGTGCCGTTGGCCAATGTCGTAATCCTACCCACGAGTGTAACCTTGAATGCGTGTCTGTGATGAGAAAGACCCACAAAGCTCTCAAGGCGTTGATGTCATCAGGGCAATTGGGTCCTCCTCTTTGTATTGCTTTTTCCTTTTTTTTGTGTGTGTGTGTCTGCCGATTCGACCCGCCCGCGTCATGTCAACGCATTCAACTCCTTCTTTCTTCCATCTCTCTGATTTGGTCGGCTTCCGCCTGTATCTCTAATTTGGTCGTCTGTTCGCTTCTCGTTTCCCCTACTCACCTTTGCTTCATTCCACCTCTCTCTGCCCTGCTCGCTCTCTTCCCCACCATCTCTTCGAACTGCATCTGATGCAAAAATGAAATCAAAAATGGCCCCAATCGCCCACGCTTACGTCCACGCGAACGCCCACGCTGGCAATCATCGCAGGTTTCATCACGACAAAGTTGGGTCGCGAATCGATTGATTCCGCGTGTTCGAAACTCATACTGCCTTGACTAATTTCATAGCGGTCCGATCATGGACACGAACATTATCCTGCCCAACCCCCCCCTTTTGGTTTCGTGATTCATGGCCCCACCCGCAACCCACATTCTTCTATTTTTACATTAAAACCCCACGATACTATACCACCACAACACGTTGAAAACATGGGCTCAATCCAAATTCCAACCCAGCCTCAACCCCACTCTGGACAAACTGCTCCTACCGACCAACCTCTGGCTGCTGCCCTGTCAATGTCTTTGGCCGCTGCTGCATTCTCTGAAGTGCACTTTCAGTGTGGATGTGTGTGCCACTTTCTCTCTCTCTCTCTCTCTTTCTCTGTCTCGCCCCTCTGTCTCTGCTTCAGCCTCTTTGTTATCTCTTGATCTCTCCCTCTCTCTCTCTCTGTCTCTTCCTTCAGTCTCCCCCCCCCCTCTCTCTCTCTCTTTCTCTTGCCTCGCTCGCTCGGCTGTGACGGCTGCGAGCGACGGCCGTGGAAGAGCGTTTGGATGCAAGCTTTCCGCTGCGCCTCGTGGCACATGTTGGTTCATTTTTTATTTTTTCTTGAGCCAGCCAACCTGACCGTCATCGACCCTTTGTACATCCCCACCATCCTCCTTGTTCATCAGGTTCATCTCACCGCTACCGCTGTTGTCGTCTCTGCCGCCGTGGTGGTCGGCCCCCACTCTTGATTGGCGGCTGCCACGAAAGACACACCGGTCCATGGTCAGACAACTACAACGACACACATGCTAGACACATAACACTATCATCATCACATCCCTGCTCATACACATATGCCCGAACCGCTGGCGGCTGCTGTGCCCGCCAACTCTTGTCTCGCTCTGCTCTCTGTCTGGGAGGGGGGGGATCGCGTCGTGACCTGAGAAACCAGGAGGGTTGGCTGGTCTGCATGTGAGGCAAGCTGTTAGAGTACGGAGGCAGTGAGGCGATGAGGAGGCCACCGAAGGTGGTCACTCCCTCCTTTCCCTTCGATCACGCCCTGCTCCCCTTTCCGTGTCGCTCGCTGACTCAGCTTTCATGTGGCTGTTCGGTTGGTTAATGACTGCCCCGAGTGTCTCGTGCACGGTCATCGGATGTGTGTGTGTGTGTGTGTGTGTGTGTGTGTGTGTGTGTGTGTGTGTGTGTGTGTGTGTGTAAGGATTCTGAACCCCCTCAACCCCTCAACCGCGCACACGCTCCCATGATACACGCTGGCATGGCGAGTTTAGCACGTGAACACGACTGATCCCCACCTTCCCCACCACCGATAACCTCCTGCCTTTCCCATCCCTCCCCCGCCCCCGTCTCTCTCTCCCTTCCTCTCTCTCCCTTCCTCTCTCTCGTCTCCCATTAGCTTACAACTCTCTTTGTCTTGCCTTGTGGTAGCCCGGTGACCCGAGCGTCACCCTGACCGTTGCATAAAACCCACCGCTTCGGGGAGGGTCCACACAAAATCAAGCACGACGGCGGACCACTTGCAAGGCCTCCCTCTCAAATCGTCCGCTCCAACATTACCCGTCAGTCTTGCCCCCGCCTCGCTCCCCGAACCATAACTGCGCCTCCCGCCATGGCCTCATTTTTTTCACTCTCAAATCATCATAATGTTTGCTCTCCATAGGCACATGATTTGACCTCTCGACATTTCCAGACGGCCCTCCGTCACGCCACCGCTCTTGCCCGCTCCTCTGCACACCAACGCCCTCTGCTAGCCGCCGTGTCATCTGCACAACCCAATGAATGGACCGGCTATGCCGGTGCTACACGTGCAGCGACCGTTGCATCACCTCACGGGCCCACGGTCTTTCCTGGCCATGCCACCCCACCATCATCCATAAGTGGTGAGGACACCCTCCGAATGGCCGGGACCGACAGCACCCACTACTTCAGGCCATCTGCACCGTACGTCCAGCCTGTTGTGCTAAGCATCCCTCCCAACGCCGCCGCCAAGCCAACATGGCCAAGCCCCATCCTCACGAACAACAACCTCCCTGATGCTTTTCTTGCCCCTCTCCTTTTCTTGTCCCTCCACTTTTATTCAACAGGCTCTCGCGTAGCTTGGAACTTGTTCCTCCCCACAAAGATTTTGGCACATCCACCTCGCACGACCTCCTGCATTGGCTCCACCGATGGCAAGTCCCAGTCCTATGTTCTTTGTTGTTTGCATCAGACCCCTTGCATGCCCTTTGAGCCTCCAGGCTCTTGATGTGTGCGCTCACCGAGCCACACGCACTCATCAATTGGGCGGCTCTTGTGTTTTCAAACCCATCCAACAGTATCCTGCACAACGAGGTCGATGCTCGTAGTAAAGATGGAGAACCGGCCATCCTCGTAGCCATTCGCCTTGGTGAGCCGCCGCGCACTGGCTTGACCCCTCTACCCCTAATAAAACCGGCCACCTCCCACACCTCACTCCCTCTACTCGTCCCAGACGCGCTCGATTTGCTTCGCGAACTGTTGCAACGCGGAGTGAACCTCCTCTGTACCGACCAGCACCTACGCAACGCCGTCACCATCGCCTGCATTTATGTACGAACTTGCTCAATTCCACTCCTCGTGATGGCTCAAACCTCACACACAGCGCCTCGCACCTGCCTTGCCCGCCTTGTAGAACAATATGCCAGCCGTGCAATTACTGTTTCAAAGTCCGATTGCACGTGCCTGTCTCAAGCAGGGTGATTGCGACGGCATGCTTCCCTTGCACGTAAGCGCAACCACGCATTCGCATCCCCCTGCAGTTGACTGTCGCCATCTCACCCAAGTTGCGATCGACACGAATTGCACAGTGGGCCGTACGCCTCGCCTCGCCCGAGCTTGTACGCTATCTCGTTCGCCTCGACAGCTTCCAGCTTCTTCGAAAAACTGCCAGGGGCTTTGGTGTCTTGCATCTCATGGTCAAGGAAGGCCGCACTGACGTTCGTTTTTTGGCCCCACGTTCAACCTCGTTGATTGCCGCACTGCAGCACCACCTGACCATGCACGCGCCCTGTGCTCTGCCCGAATGGCTGATAGTTGATGAAGGTTTTGCAGTGTGAACATAGCAGCTTTTTGCCTTTGTGCCTCTTCCAGCCCGCTCACGATGGATCCACCCCTTGGAGTCTAGCCGAAAACTTGGGTGACTCGGGCGTCTTGATGCAACTCGACGAGTACCGCTGCGCCGTCAAGCAAAAAAATGAGAGTTCTGATGCTCTGGTACGCCGCCAACCTGAACCTGGGCCTTGCGCGAGACACGACGACACGCGTGCTGGTGCCATCATCTGCTCAGCACACAGCACCAGCACTCGTTTCCATGTTGTAAGCACTGCCATCTCACCCTCATGTACCGCACCCAAACTCAAAAGGAACGTCGCTTGACGCGGGCCGTCATTATGCGCTACGTCCGGGCGCGCAAGGCAGGGCGTCACGACGTCGCAGATCGGGATGCACACAACGTCTTTTCTCCGTGGTGGGGGCAGCTGTGAACACCCGACCATGATGACAGGCAGTAGCATCTGGGCCACCGCCTTCTCCATGGACCTACCCATATCCGATCCGCAGCACCCGAGTTCGCTTTCCTCGATGTTTTGCTTCCCAGTGTGTCTTATTTTATTTTCATGCATGCCATTGTGGGGCCTTGCTCGCCCCTCCTCTCTCCCTTTTCCCCCTCCCCACATTTCATTCCCTCGTCGCTGTTACCGCGCGTTGGCCAAGTGAGGCGAATGCGCGTCGTCTTGCGAGCCGTGAAACAGCTCGCTATTTGATGTTCCTCCTCGATACAATGTCATGGGTTTTAGACCCACCCCATCCCTCCTGACTGGCCTTGAGGCTGTGCCACGAGGATGCCTTTTGATACGTTTAGTTCTGTGCGCTCCGCCACCCCCTAGCTCGTTTTCCAACCGGACGTGTAGTGCTGTCTGCCGTGTGCTTTCGAGTTCCCTTGCTCCCTGCGCACTCGTTTGTGCCGTTTGTGCCGTTTGTGCCTGTCCTTCTTGCTCTTCATGCTATTCCTCACACAAATCGCAAATTTTTGCTTGCGATCACACCAGAAATTTTTATCGGTTTGTCAGTTCACGGACCATACTTACAGTTAAAATGATGATGAGGCGTGCATTGCCCGGACATTCGTTTGCTTGCTCCCCGAGCCGCCAAATCATCCCAGCCACAGCCACCCTCAAGGCAGGCTCATTCACTTCCTCACCTCACCTCTTGGCTGGGCATGCATTCATGCTTGCTCGCTCCTCCAAAAAGTTGTTGTATGACATGTTACTGCACTGACGCAACAACAACACAACATGTCATGAACTTTTCATCTTCAATTTAAAATCATTACTCCTGAAACTTAATTGCTGACAGTCCAAAAACTAACTCTGCTGACTGGGCTGAGGATGCACGCACGCCAATCTGCAGGGTTCGCTCCATCATATTGGGAGAGCCTGAAATGAGTACGGACACGTCGGCCCGCATGGGATGCCACGGTTGCGCAGCTCGCTTGTGTATCAAAGGCTTCTGAATCACGCCATAGACGACGAGGACGAGGAAGACGCGGATGGGGTTGATGCCGGAGTAATCACCATGGGAGAAAGCGCACGGATCAAGTCCCGATAATGGTTTTCTTGGACTTCCAGCTGAACCATGGGCGTTGTGGCCACAACATCTACATGCACCCCACCAAAGCAACAGTCAAATTCAAGCAAATGGCTCAGTAAGCCCCGCACACCCCGTCGAAATTGAATACTCGTCAAGAAGTGATGTCGGCAAAGACCCCCAACTTCTTCCCGACGCTCACTGTCCCCCAGCAGACACGGACATCGCATTCCATGAACAAGCGCCTGAGGCAAAGCAAACAAAGCCGGGCCGTGGATCCGTACCGAGGGTAAAGGCAGCCCGGGCACCTAAATCACGCAAAACGGCGCAGTAACCCCAGGGTTGCAGGGATCGGTTCAGATAGGCACACCATTGGGCGCCCGTTTCGCGCTCCGTATGAAAGTATGTCCGATTGCGGCTTCCCATAAAGACGTTGACCAGATAGGAGAGCAATTCTATCGTTGTGACAAGCGAAGTGCATCATTGGGTTGAGATGACATGATTGTTGCGGCTTTGGCTAGTGAGTGAATAACAGCCATCCACTTTGGAAGATAGCAACGTGGTTGTATGTGAAACTGTGAGCGATGTTGTCGGTGTCCTGCCCCATGCTGGGCTCTACCCATAGGTAGAACGTGACGCGCAGATGCAAGGCTTGGTCAGGGGTGCCGTCTGTACCAGATTCGTTTCGGTAGGGGCCTGCCTTCTTGTGCAGGGCTGGCAAAAGCCGATGGCTCATCATGGACCGCAGTAGAAGATCCATACTAGATTGTGGCTATATCGCAGGCCACGAAAGACGATGATGAGTTGTCTTTGTCTGTTTGAAAACAAATAAGGGGCCGAACGGAACAGATTGGGTCCTGTGCTTTGGTAGGGCTGGCTGGTGCAGAGGCCACTAAACTCCCACGGATGCCGGTCTTTAACTTGCCTTGGACAAGGCGCAAGAGCGCACGTAGGAGAGGATGGGGCGCAAAGTGGTCATGCGCGGGGTCTTTCGCCATTGCATGCCCGAGAAAGTCAAGAATAACTCATCAAAGAAGCGAATCGTGCAACTGGGCGGGAGCCGCGAGGCCAAGCGAGCACAGTCGGCGTATGCGGGTAGTTGCAGCAAAGCATTGGCAAAGCCCACGTTGCCGCTGGAGAGCCGCCGATGCTGTCCTGGTTTTGTGCATTTTGATGATGGTTGAGTGACCATGTTGTTCGTGGTGGGAAGGCGCGAGGGCGTGAGGGTGGGGCATGTATGGAGCAAAGTGAGCGAATTTGAGGCATGGACGGGGAGAAAGCTCATCAAAGCTCTTTAGAAACGCTTGCTTGGGGGAAGGGAGGAGGGCTAGAAGCGCTAGGAACTGCAGAGTCCAGAGCAGACGAAAGGATGTAGACGAGTTACATACCCGAGACGTGACTTAACAACTGGAGCGCCAACAAGGGGCCAAGATTGGCTTCCAGGCTATCTTGGTCGTGTCGCGAGCGCAGCGATCTCATCACTCTACCTGTGGGTATGTCTGCGTTTGCGGTGGGGAGAAAACGAATCTCCGGCTGTGCGTTTGCCCTTGTTGTGGGACCGGACAGCGGAGGTAGGTTCGCGGTCCCCTGTTGAGCAGTCAAACTCAAGCTTGGGTCGTGAAGCGAGGCCTCCAAGGACTCGGGCATCGTTGACGTTAGGGATGGGGCCAGTGTGGAGGGCGGCAATGTGAAAGTAGGCTCTGAAACATCTTCAGAGGGGGTACTAAAGAGAAGTGTCAAGGCTTCGGAGGCTGTTATACCGGATGCCAGGTGGGGTGCGGACTCGGCGAGAAGCTGCAGGCTATCGACGGTTGGCATGACTGGATTGAAGGTGCCTGTCATGGCGGGAGAGAAAGTTGAATGCCAAGGCTGAGAAGGAGGGGGCCAGGGCAAAGCATGGATGGACCCAGGGTCACTCTCCGTGACTGCTGGCCAGTGTGTTGAATCTCGGACAGATTGCACGGGGAAGGAGTCAGAGGGTCGCGTCGCCCGGTGCAAGCTTTCGTGTCCAGCGTGCTGCCCCATCAGTTCATGCAAAAGCCTTTCAGCAGGCATCATGTGGCTAGACGACGGCTGACTGGGGTGCTGCCAAAAGAGACGAGGATCGACGTGCCCAGGTATTGATGTGGGAGCATTTGGTTGAGGGTAGGCTTGGCGTCTTGAGTGGATGTGATACGGCAAATTCTGATGTTGACTGCCTGTTGGGCCTGGCAAATCAGGAGCGACAGGAGTGGCTTGAGCATGAGCCGCTGTCGTCACTGGTGTTTGCAAGGTCTGATGTTGAAAGTTGTGAAGGGCAGTCAGCCGTCGGCTTGGCCGATTTGGATCCTTGGGCATGCTTGATCGTGAGGAGGAGAAGAGAAAAGGGCGCCAGTCACAACACGATTGTATTGCGGTACTCGAGTGCACTGTTTCAGAGCTCAGTGGCCAGAATTGCTTGACGTTTGTTCACGTTTTAGCCCATCACGCACTGGGAAGCACTTGTCGATGGTGAATGGGAGGAGGGGGAGCTACTCCGTCCAAAGTCTCCCCCTCCCAATCAAGTGGCTCGGGCAAAGCGATCGTGGCACCCGGGTGTCACTGTTGAGCAGCAACAATACACGCCACCAGCTGGGAGACCAGGGTGTCACTGGTCAAACAGAGGATCAATGTCTGTTCTGCCAGCTATCCAAGACAAGGAAGCAGCCATATAGGGGCGATTGCTTCACTCTTGACTCTGCAGACTCAGCCACCACCACCACCACCGCGGCCACCACCATCAGCACCACCAGGGCTATGATGTTGAATCCCCAGGTCAACAACAGATGTGAGGGACAGATAGGTCAGTGACATAGGGGCCGAGCAACGTAGTGAATCGAAGACAGGGGATCGCAGGCAGAAAAGTGGAACGGCGGAAGCGGTGGAGAGGGTGGAAAGGGAAGAAGAGTAGACTGAGGAGGGGTAGGGAAGCAGAACAAGTTGCAAGCAGAAAGCGAGACAACAGTGGGGGAGGGAGGGGCTGAAGCGCTGAGAGTGTAGAGGGATGGAGTGGACCAGGGGTTGGCTCGGATTGGACAAACTCGGGGCCGAGTGAAGAACGCGATGACAGCGAGAGTCCAGCCCGAGAGAGGGGAGAAGAGGTGGGAAGAGGAGAAGAGGTAGGAAGAGGAGAAGAGGTGGGAAGTGGAAGAGGAAGAGGAAATGGAAGTGAAAAGAAAAAAGACACAGACACAGACACAGACACAGAGAGACAGAGAGAGACAGAGAGAGATGGAGAGAGATGGAGAGAGATGGAGAGATGGAGAGAGACAGAGAGAGAGATGGAGAGAGACAGAGAGAGACAGAGAGAGACGAGAGGGAGCAAGAAAGAAAGTATGTGTGAGGGAGAGAGAGAGAGAGAATGTGAGAGAATGTGGGAGAATGTGTGTGAGTGTGAGGGTGTAGCTGGGGCTCGGACTATGTGTGTGTGTGTGTGTGTGTGTGTGTGTGTGTGTGTGTGTGTGTTTGTGGTTTGGGGGGGGGGGGAGCGGGATTGCTGAAGAATGAGGGAAGAGAGGGGAAAACGGCCAAGGCGGGGCAGGACGGTGGGGAGGGGGGATGGCGGCTATCAACTGTTTGTTGGGCGGTACGGGAAAGCAATCTCC